TAAAATTAGCGGAAATAGAATCGAATAAACAATGGCATTGAATGGCACAATCTTTCAAGGCGAACCTCGATAGCTGCGCCAAATTCGTATCGACTCCCACCCTAAATGAAATTATTTATAATTTTCCTTTAATTAAAAATCATAGATTCTTAATTTTCTTAACATTGCATAAATGTAAACTCTGATTACTAAATGGTACTTTGTTTCCTGATCGGATACAAATTGGCAGAGCTATGGCCATCGGAAGGAGCAAAAGTGTGGAAATCGGGACAACCCACAATGTTGTAGGGGAACTCCTTGGAAAAAATTCGAAAAATTGAAAAACGACATTAAATATTTTTTTGGGTTTGCTGATTAGTAAATGGTACATTGTTTCCTGATCGGATACAAATTGGCAAAGCTATGGCCATCGGAAGGAGCAAAAGTGTGGAAATCGGGACAACCCACAATGTTAGGGGGAACTCCTTGGAAAAAATTCGAAAAATTGAAAAACGACATTAAAGCAATGTTTTGAATAAGAAAAGTCGCTTTTGGGTTTGCTAATTAGTAAATGGTACTTTGTTTCCTGATCGGATACAAATTGGCAGAGCTATGGCCATCGGAAGGAGCAAAAGTGTGGAAATCGGAAAAACACACAATATTCTAGGGGAACTCTTTGGAAAAAATTGGAAAAATTGAAAACCGACATTAAAGCAATATTTTGAATGAGGAAAGTCGCTTTTGGAAATCTGGAAATCTGGAATATGAAAATACTAAATTTGGAATATGAATACTGCAATCATGGATTTTAATGTTAATTAATGTTTAATAAAGATGTATCTGTGACCAGAAAATATCACTATCAGTAAATACTTAGATTTAATGTGTCAAAATTCCCAAAAAAGTTTCAAACTGAGCCCATCTTCCCTCTCTTTTAAGAGATAAGGAGACTGTCTACATTGAATATTGAAGATTCTTTTTCATTAATGCCTATTAATATCCGCGAAATATTAATCTGATTTATGAATAATTAACAGTTCCCAGAAATCGAATTTGGGTTTGATGTTCTTTTGTTATATAACCTTTTTGGGTATATATAACACCGATAATCGTACATTTCGAAGACAATAGTAGATCTTCTCTCGTCAGGGAAGCACCAGTCAGCTCCTCGCCAGTGGAGTTATCCTTCTTAATCAGTTATGGGAAAGGCTCCTTCTGCCGTCGTTTTGGCAACGGCACTTGCATTTTGTGCCTTTTGTCCTTTCTTTGCCAGGTGCGAGGACACCGAGCTTAATGATATTAGAAATGGCATAGACAGTTTGTGGAAAGTCCAGGTGAAATATCAAGCCGAGTTCGACAGGAAGGTGAAGTTTGCGCAGCTGCAGGAGGTCATCGATGAGATTGACACAGTCATGCTGGGATACAAGGGCAAAGCCAAGGACAAGTTGCCTCGGATTCGCTTGTTGAACTCCGAAGCCCGTCTCAGCTACAAGCATTGTGTGGGTCCAGTCTTCGATTGATGCCAATCCATCAACAGAAGTTTCGATCCATTCAGCCAAATCTTTGGCAACAGCAACGTGTCGATAACTTATAAGAATATAATCTGGATCCAGACAGTGTCTGCTCTGGAATCGGGCCTCACAAAAACCGGAAAATCTTTGGAATTCCTTACCTATTTCCGAAACAGTATTAATGAGCTTGAAAATGCGTTTCGAGATATTTCGCATGATGTCCACGATGATTTCGGCCCAGGGGGCTTCTAAGCGAAGAAAAGGTGGATATGCAGAAGAGAAACAACAGATTGAGATTTGTCGTCTGGTTTGATGCGATCGGTGACCTGGTTTTTGGACCGATTGGTCTTTCACTGGGTTTCCCCGCCGCCTTTGCCTCGTTTGGAATCACCTCAGAAGTTCAATGGAATCAAAAGAAAACCTACGAGCAAATAGAGCTTATTGATCATTTCTTTACGGTCCTGACGCAAAAGATTGAGAATGCCACCGAAAATGTGGAAGAAATGGAGAGTAACCTGGAGGTGGAAAAAATCAATCTTCAGAAGCTCCAAAGAGTAATTGCAGGCTCCAATAGTGTACGTTTTTCTCCCAAAACTCATACTCATACTTTTCAAATCTGTTATATCTCTATCTTTCTTTATTTTAGGCGAAAACTATATTGTTGTCTGACATGGCTTCTCTGCGAGTCCAATTCGTTCCCAACATCCAGAGTCTAAAGGATAGCTGCGCCGAGTACGTGAACTGGCACGGATTTGATGATAATTTTTATCAGAAGATCAGTTCCAGAACTCGTCGTTCAGCCTCCACATTCTACGAAAGCCCGCTTAAATAGCAATTGTTAATTATAAACAATTATTAATTAATTATATAAGCAATATACAATTGTTAATTATATAAGCAATTAATAAACAATACGGTGAATAAAGGTCAAACAAGTTACTTTCTTAGTACCAACAACTATTACCTTTTATCCATAAGCTGTTTATACCCTTGCAGAGGGTATTAAAATTTTGGTCGAAAGTGTGCAACGCAGTGAAAAATGTGGTAGAGTCTGCCCAGCTTTCTGAGTCTAAGGAAGAGATAAGCTTGTTGAGATTGGTTCTACCCTCAAGCCCGCTTTCCCCCTTTGAATATGAGATGCTGGTAGCTTCGTCTTGGAAAGAGGCCATCTCAATATTCTTCCAAGAGGCCATCCCGTCACTTCAGCTATAGTGCCTGACTTTCATGAGAAGAACCTACACTCTCGCCCTTGGGCGCTAACTGCCAAGATCCGTTCCCAATACTGCCCTATTGGGGATGAAGGTCGTTCCAAGGATTTTGAACAAATGCATACGCTGTTTTCAGGCAGAGCCTCGTCTACTAGAGCATGTCATGGCTGATCTTCCGGCCGAGAGGGTTGAAGGTTTCCAAATCTTTGATGTAACAGGTGTGGATTTTTGTTTACCTTGTATCTCAAATATTTGAATGGAGGTACTATGTTTCGGGAAATAAAAAAAAAATATACTATTTAGTTGGGAGAGGCCCAGACTAAAAAAATCTTACAAAAAACTATAATTTCAAGACTTTAATGAACATCATTGCATCATACATCCCTCCGAACAGCGCATTTAGTATACATCAGGCGCTTATGGAAAACATCACTAGTGTCTCTGCTTTGACGGTAGCTGGCGATTTCAATTTAGGCTGCATTGTCTGGTCGCGGGACCCGGAGTCTTCCTGCATCCTGGGACTTGGTCCTCATTCCCGATATATTTTGAAACTTTAAGCTTTTATTGGGGTCCGAGGACGAGTAGCTAAAGTCCAAACTGGTGCTGGTGCATGTGGGGGCATATCCAATACTCATAGCTTGCAAGATGGCCGACGAAAACAGATGCATAGATCTTTCCATTGGACTCAATAGTAGACCTGCGAGTGTCCATTTGCAAGGCAAATCCAGTGCCAGGTAAAAACATAGAGCGTTCATAGTCAGGCACATCCAAACGCAGCAAAGATCCACTCTCACGTCCAAAACGTAAGTAAACATCTTCCATCGGCGAAAAGAAGACACCATCGAGTGGCCCAGCGAGGTCCATAACCTTAGCAGGCTCTCTATGCACAAACCGGCTGACTTTTACCGACATAGGCCAAAAGTCATCATTGAAGACTGTAGGGAAATGTTGCTCCGGAACTCCCAATTTAAAGTTGACGAACTTGAGGGCGTTGATGTCAGCATTTTTTTTGATCAGCCTTGATCAGGGTAGACTTCATCAGAATTTACAAATATGAAGGTATTTTAAGGTGGGAAGCACTTGAAGCTGACAGCCTTCTTCTTCCTCGGGACAGATCCCTTAGATGCCGTTGGGGCCTGGCCCAGTATAGCCTTTGTTAGGTGCTCCCAGTGATGGTAGGCATAGAAGGGGGAGCAACAGCATGGACTCCAGCCGAAGAGGCGCGTCCAGCGGGCACAGCCGCTCCATTTACCAGGGCATGATCCACTTTGGCATAGGCTTTCGAAAAGGGATTCTAGATCCAGAACCTTATGATTCAGCTCATCAAATTTGGAATGCAAATCATTTCCAATGACGCAGCTATCACATTGCCGCATTAAGTTCGGAATGTTAATAAGTAGTTGTATAGCCTCCGGAGGCTAATCCACACAAGCGGCAGATCGACGCGCACCGAGTAGGCAGATCCTACTAAGTCTCTTCATACGTTCCAAATTACCGTGCAATTGATGTTCATCAAACTCACACACCCTTTTCGGTATTTATTCGAACTTCGTTATGGACACATAAAGGAAAATATGTGTCCACAAAATATTACTATCAGTAAAAGCATACATTTTAATGTCAAAATTTGCAAAAAAGTTTCAATGCCATAATCACACTGAGCCCCGATTCCGCCTCCCTCAAAAGATAAGGAGAATGTCTAAATTGAATATTAAAGAACTTCTTCATTAATGCCTATTAGCTTCCGCGAAATCTGAGTCTTTTATTTGCAACTACGATACATCTCTTGATTTAGGAATTATTAACAGTTCCCAAGAACCGAATTAGTGTTAAGTGTTCTTTGGTGTATTCACTTTTCGAAAAAAATAGCGGATCTTCTCTCGTCAGGGAAGCACCAGTCAGCTCCTCGCCAGTGGATTAATCCTTCTTGATCAGTTATGGGAAAGGATCCTTCTGCCGTCGTTTTGGCAACGGCACTTGCATTTTGTGCCTTTTGTCCTTTCTTTGCCAGGTGCGATGACACCGAGCGTAAAATCCTGGTGAAATATCAAGCCGAGTTCGACAGCAAGGTGAAGTTTGCGGAGCTGCAGGATGCCATCGATGAGATTGATAAAGCCATGCTGGGATACAAGGGCAAAGCCAAGGACAAGCTGCCTCAGATTCGCCCTTTGAACTCCCGCCCTTTGAACTACAAAAACTGTGTGGGTCCAGTCTTCGAGTGGTGCATTTCTTCCACCGGCACCTTTAATATCTTCATCGATAAAATTGGCGACAGCAACTTGTTGGAAACGAATAGGAATATAATCAGGAACATGACCGTGTCTGCTGTGGAAATGGGACTTACAGAAAACGAAAAATCTTTGGAATGTCTCAAACATTTCCAAATGAGAATGGCACAGCTCGATAATGCGTTTCAAAATATTTCGATCTATGTCCGCGACGATTTCGGTCCAGGGGGCTTCTATGGGGAAGTAAAGGCGGAACTGCAGAAGAGGATCAACGGTTCTTCTGTGGACTTATCAAAAACGATTTCCACGCTTGGTATCACCGAATTATTAAAATGGAACCAAACGGTGCCAACCTACAAGGAGCAAATGGAGTTTATTGAGCATTTATTCACGGTCCTGACGCAAAAGATTGGGAAAGCCACCGAAATAGTGAAAGGTATGGAGAGGTACCTGGAGGAGGACAAAATCTATCTTCACAGACTCCGAGGACATATTGAAAATGCCAACAATGTACGTTTTTCCCCCAAAAAATCATACTTTTCAATGCTGTAATTGTTATATTTTTCTTTATTTTAGGAAAAAAACATATTGTTGTCTGATGTTGCTCTTCTGCGCGTCCGATTTATTCCGGCTATCAAACATCTAAAGGATATTTGCGCCGAGTACGTGAACTGGCACGGATTCGATAATCCCTTTTATCAGAAGATCAGTTCCAGAACTCGTCGTTCAGCCTCCACATTCTACGAAAGCGAACCATCGCCCGCTTAAATATCAATTGTTAATTATAAACAATTGTTAATTAATTATATAAGCAATATACAATTGTTAATTATATAAGCAATTAATAAACAATACGGTGAATAAAGGTCAAAAAAGTTACTTTCTTAGTACCAAAAACTATTACCCTTTATCCATAAGCTGTTTATACCCTTGCAGAGGGTATTATAATTTTGGTGAAAAGCCCAGCGTTCTGAGTCTAAGGAAGAGATAAGCTTGTTGAGATCAGGCAGATTGGTTCTATCCTCAAGCCCGCTTTCTCCCTTTGAAGATGAGATGCTGGTAGCTTCGTCTTGGAAAGAGGCCATCCGAATATTCTTCCAAGAGGCCATCCCGTCACTTCGGCTATAGTGCCTGACTTTCATGAGAAGAACCTACACTCTCGGCCTTGGGCGCTAGGTCCGGAGATTCATTCCCAATACTGGCCTATTGCGGGAGGAAGACCGTTCCAAGGATTTGGAACAAATGCATCTGCTTTTTTTTCGCATTTGTTGAATTTTTCAGCATTTTTTTTTTAATTGCTTTAAAATTAGTTTACTTTGTAACACAAATATTTGAATGCAGGTGCTAAGTTGGGATTGGGATTATTAGCAAAAAAATATCAAAAGTTTGAGTTTTTGGCCATTTGTCTCACTCTGCTCTTGGCTTGGCCAACAGCCTCTGTGCAAGTCTCTGTGAAATTAATTGTTAGTATCTTCTAGTGATTTATAAGACTCCATAAAGTATCTCTAATCTTGATCAGAATCATCTCCAGTGCCGATTAGGCCATGTCTTTCTGTATGTTTTACAGAAAAAAGATCAAAGAGAAAAACTTTTAGGTTTTTGATTTCCTATTTTATTTTTTATACCCTTGCAGAGGGTATTATAATTTTGGTCAAAAGAGTGCAACGCAGTGAAGGAGACATCTCCGACCCTATAAAGTATATATATTCTTGATCAGGATCACCTCCTGAGTTGAAGATATAAAGCTGGAACTTGGTACAGATTATATTTTTTGTCAATTAATCCGACCTTCCAAATTTCATCGATCGATCGGTCGACTATATCCTATAGCTGCCATATAACTGAACGATCGGAAATGGTTTTTGTTAGAACTTGGGTATTTTTGAAGATAGAAGTTTGGGACTTCTTTTTGGAACAACTATATCCGATATTTGCGATATATATCCGGTTTTAACTGCAAGGGTATATCAACTTCGGCTCCGCCCGAAGCTAGCTTTCCTTTCTTGTTTTTTATAATTTTTAATCCGAACTTAAAAAGTGATTTTCCGATTGTACGCCCGTGGCGAAATTTAGCCAAACCGTATCAGTTGTAAATAAATGAAAATCAATAATTTAAATTATACAAGTATGAAAAAAATTAATAAAAGAAAAAATTAGGTCCTAACTGCTTGAAAGCTTCTCTTGGTAAGCGATCAACTGCTCCTCTCGGCCATCTGTTGAATTGATTCAGGGAAAAGAAAAAAAGGGTTCCTTTGCATCGGGCTCTACCGTCGAGCACCTAAGACCTCTGATGTTGCCAGGCTTAGTTTGCCCACCCAACCTGTGGCTATCAAAACTCCTGGGGGCGAAACCCTTTATGTCAATAATAGCCCTAGCTTCGACGGTCTCAAGGGGGCCTGTTATGTCGGGTCCAAAAAAGTGGTTCTTAGCACATTATAAAAATTTATTTAAGCACTAAAAGAAATATAATAAAAATTTGCTTTAGACCTAAAACGTACATGCCCACTATATCGAATTATATGGAGTAAATACTAAAGTAAGCCTATTAATAAAAGAAATATTCAAATGTGGCTAAACAAAATTAAAAGAATTAAAACTAAAAGATTAAAGAAATTGGCTTTTCAAAACAATAAAAACAAATTAGACATGAGCAAGACTTTCATATAAAAATAAAACTTCATGGCGATCCCTTCGAACATATAAACGAACATGCGCTCAAACTTGAGTGAAAACTCGCCAGCGAAATGGTTCGAACGATTTGGACTAGCGGATTTACTATTTACTTCAAAATTTCCTTTTTTTATTTAAAAATTTAAGTCGTCCATGTTTGGGAAATATTCCTTGTTTTATTATATTTTTGTTCTTTCGGGACTAAATCTGGTATTACGTAAGTTCAGTTCACACTCACCCCAGCCTTGGTAAATCCATCGTTGAAAGCGCTGGACTTTCTTGGACTGGAGGTGGCTGAAACTTTAGACTCAACACTAACAAAAAAAAAGGAAAATTTTCTATTGTGAAACGCACTTTGGGGCCATGGAAATCATTATTCTTATTTTTTCTCTTTTCTTCTTTTTTTCTCTTCTTTTTTTTTGAAAAGGTTAGGTATAACCCCACTATCACTTCGAATCGCGCTTGGCCAATTTTTCCTTTTTCATGCCATATGCCTTTTTCTGCTCGGAATCTGTTTTGGCCATAATCCACCACAAAACAGAAAACGTACTCACTAATAGAACTAACACTACTTAATCTAACACCTATCTACATGCCGAACTCCCACGTGGATTCGGCCGTACCGGTTTTTCCCGGATGAAAGTTCTCAGGAATACCGCGCCGGGGTCGCCGGATGCCTCCGCAAACTGCCCGCTCGAGCCAAAGGTTTGATGGTTTGGAGTAAATCTCAAGCCCGTTGACCGAGTCTTTTTCTTTGTTTTTTTTTCTCCCTCAGCTTCTTGGTTTTGGTCTATCTCTTGATATCTTGGTGCAAAACTGGAACTCTTCCGGCGAACGCTGCTCCTGCAGCTCTGCGCCGTGGGCTTTCGGAGTCCCTTAGATCCGCTCCGACCCCTTGGGGCTGCCTGAATTTCCCTCCGGTAGTGTCTACCTTGATGCCGAGCCTAGTCACGCAAGAGAAAATTTTGCTAGAATACCTAACTGACCCGCCACACTTCCTCACCTCGATACCTCGGATTCACCCTTGGCCACAAAAACGGTGGGCCCCTTTTTGATATTTTTGCCCCTGGACACAAGCTCCTTGTTTGTCGTTCTTTGCACTACACCGCACTTAGGTGTAGAAATTTAATCAAATAAATCAGAGGAGGTGCACTGAGGGAATGAATGTCCCGACGCCAAAATTTGGCGCTGATCCCTCCATGCCCTTTGCCCGGAGAGCCCCAACGGAAAATTTTGCCATCTTACCCGGTTGCACTCCTCCTAATTTCCCTGTGACCCTTTCTAGTCTGAAACTTCTCTCCTAGATGGCGCACCCTTCCCAACTAACTTTCTTTTGAAAGATACAAGCGTTACAGGCCATACTACCGATTCAGTAGGGCAGCAAACCAAAATGTCTATACCTCTCCTAAAAATTATCCGATTTGACTGCTTTTGATTTTTAAGTGTACATAGATTAGCCGTTCGAGCAGTTTGGCATCTAAAAATTTTCTAAAAACATTAACGAACTGGTTAATGGAACCGCTACAACCAAATCTCTATTTTTGGGAGAGGGAGTTGGCGTGGCAAAATTTTGACACCAACTTGATCTGCGCTTAAGATCCCAAGTACCAAGTCTGAAAGTTCTACCTCATAATCTTATACCCTACGCGTTCAGAATTTTTAAATACAATCCCTTGAACCAAATAAAGAACATAAGCTTCTCTAGGGAGACAATTAAAAACATAGAGACCAAGACCCATCATCTAAAAGAACGCTTAGATTCAATAGCTCCCAAAGTTAGTTAGAAAGTAGAGGGAGCTAAAAACGGTTTAGGCTCATGATGAAAATCATTCCGGGTAACATGGACGCGTCGAACACAGACAAAATAAGATATAAATTCCACAAAATACACAAGTTGGGCACTTCTGTGACAGATTTGACTGAGATTGCAGATTTAAACTGACAGATTAAATCTGCAAAGGTAAAATAAATAACGAATGCATTATTCGTTTTAAAAATATCACAAAGCACATTAACGAAGATCAGAAGATTATAAGTAGATTATAAGAAAGTTTATAGAAAATGTCCCTGTTGCGGTTACTTACATTAACCGCAACCGGGACCTTTTCTATAAACTCTCCCAAGAACAGAAGGAGATTCATCTTCTTTAATTTTTAAATCGTATTAACTTTAATAAGAGTGTACTAACCAATAATATTAAAAACATAGCGGAGAGCAATCTTCTCATCAAACTAAAATTCATTTTTAATACGAAAGAAATAGAATATACTCGAATTTTTATAAAGAAACAGAACTTTGAGTTAGAAAACGATATCAAATTATATAAAATATTTAACACTGAAACAATAGCCAACGAGCCAAAATAATTTTCTTAATCCAAAAACCCACAATTAATACTAATATATGCCACCTATAAACAAAATTAGATTACGTAAAAGATAAGAGTCAAAAATTGCGAAAGTGTACCTATGCCACGGGGAAGATACTTCGGATCCCAAGTCTCAAAATAAATGCTTGGCGGAAATCTTATCAGGAACACCAGCGACATTTGTGGCAAAGAAAACCGACCAGGAGTAACGGATCTGGCAATCAGAGGGCGTAAGCATCGTCCTAATCAACATCCTAATAATTTCTTCGTGTGCTGAAATATTCAACTTCACCGGTACAGGCCTATTAGAAATAAAAGACTGTCCCACTACTATCAACGTTATTATGTACAGAGGAAGTATTGGTGAATTCAACGTACTCTTGAACGAAACTTTAAAATAAAAAAAATTTTAAGATAATGAACGAGATCAGCGAGACAGCGATCGAAGACCCCCTTTACATACTATTGGTAAGGAATAGCCACAATGGCAATAATCTCAATCCCGATCAGGAGAAAAAGACAACCAACAACACTTTTTACCCCTGAAACAACACTGCAACTCGTGTCGACCATGCCTTCACTCTAGGAGGGGAGGAGTTACCGACGACGTCACTAGCCAGTGAAGTCACGGTCACCTATTGCCACTGCACATCGTGTCTACACCTCGATGACACCCAATACGGTCAGCGCCCGGTCGTATGCTGACTAGGAGGATCATCGCAAGCACAAGTATCCGGCCCATTGCTGAGCTAGGCACTTTTGCAGCCTATACACATTCATTCTTTGTCTTACTTTA